CGTGTGGACCGCCCCCGCTCCCGCCGGGTCCCTCCCGAGGCCGCCGCCACCCCAGCCCCCGCCCCAGCGTCGCCAGGACTCTGGGGCTCCGGTTGTTATGGCGACAGCTGCGCCGGTGAATGAGCGTCTTAGTGACACGCGCGCGCCCCCTCTGCCAGATGTGGCCCCGGGGCGCGCCGCGTTCCCGCTGGCCACAAGTTATGGACGGCGTGGGGGTGGGGGGAGCGGGGGGTCCCCCGGTGCGGTACCGCTCGGGACGTGACATCAGGAACAGATAGGGGTTCCAGAGCTTGAGCGTATTCCTGTCCTGGGACATAGAACTTGAAAACAAGAGGAACAGGACCTCCACAGCGCTGGGTGTCAGATGCCAGGGAGTGGCGAAGTAGCACTAACAGAGGTTCCCTAGCACCGGGTACGCGCCGGTCACAGGTTAACTTGCCCAGAAGTGAGTGGATGGTGGATCAAGACAACCGAAGTAAGGAATGCAGGCACTGCCCCTTCGCCATCCGGAGCTCCCAACCAGAACCCCAGGCAGACCCGTTTCCTAACTTTGGGCCTTTGCACGCTCAAGACCAGAGAGCCACAAGAGCAGAACCAAGCTGAGGGGGAAGGAACCGTGCTCAGGTACAAACCATGGGAGAGTTATCGGTTCAGCTGGAAAACTGACTGACTGGCTGATTCAGCTGGAAAACAAAGAGGCTGGGAGGGGGCGTAAGGCCTATGGTAGATTAAGGTGGCTTCCTGGAGGAAGGGGGCTTCTGTAATTGTCCTGTTCGTGTGAGTCTTTGCAGGAGGGAACCAGGAAGTCATTCTCCCACGTGGATCTGGGATTTCTCTCTCCCCAGGGGAAAACAGTCCACCCCATCCCACCTCCACCAGCCTCCCTGCTTCTCTGAGTCATTCCTGGCTCTCTAATCTGACTCCAGCAACTCTGATCCAGAGTCCTGGAAGGCATGAGTGGGGGCCTGGGCATCTCATCCACCAAGCCTCCATAGAACCCACCCTGAGTATTTGGGCATAGCTCATACTCTGCTCTTCCCTGACCAACTAAGCATCCCCTCTCATTTTCCATGTGATTATCCCATTCTTTTCATGGCTTTTCAAAGCAGCTTTTTTCTGCTTGGTTAGATTCTGCCTCTCCCATGAGAGAACAAGCTTGGTTGAGAGTTCCTCAGCCACATTCCCCATGGTGTCCTAGTCCCCTGGGCAGGTACATGACGGATTCTTAAAAGTATCTGTACCATGAATGGAACTCTCTGCCTGTCCGCAGTAAAACCCGACTGTGACCCTTGGAAATAGAGTCTCTGAGTCACCCGTTAGTCCTCTCTCCTGCCTTTTACTCCCATCTCATTCCATCCTTAAATTTCAGAGACTCCAAGCAAGCTAGAAATACCTGTGAGAGGTACGTCCTGGTGTTTGAGGAGAAAGACAACCAGAGCCCCAGCCCCCCGACACCAGCCTCTGGGGTGCCTGGGATCATGTGCTGACCAGCTGCAGAGTGGTCAGGGGGACTGGTCTCTTATTTATGGGCAGTGTCTTCCCAACAGTTACTCCAACTGATGACTCACGCATCAGAAATCTGTGGGCTCTCTTAACAGCTACACACATTAGCATACACACCTCTGCACTAACAAATGAACTTACTGTGCAGTGAGCAGTCTATATACTCAGTTCTGTACACACACACACACACACACACACACACACACACACACGGGGGGGGGGGGTAAGCAGCTGAGGAGATCAGGTGTTTTATGAGTCTGAATAAACATGTGGACTCTGTATAGAGAAGACGAATTCCCCTGGAGTGTGTGTGAAGAGCAGGGTCCTGTCCCGGGTTTGTAGACAGTGGCTGGAAAGGCTCTGGATCCTCCTGGGAAGCCTGGGTAGGGGGACAGAGGTGGACCTAAGGTCCAGAAGTAGATGACAGCCAGACATCACAGGCCTAAACTTGGGCGATGGGCAAAGCAAAAGAGAAATGAAGGCCAAAGAGGAGGGAAGGAGTGAGGGAGGGAGGGAGGGAGGGAGGGAGGGAGAGAGAGAGGGAGGGAGGGAGGGCCAGAGGCTTTCCTGATAGCCCAGAGGCTATGGAGGCGCTGCTGTGAGCTCCAAGGGAAAGTAAGAAGTTGTTTTTGAACTTGGGAGTCACAGCCTACTTAGATGTGCATATCCTTGGCCCTCTGTTCAAACTTTAATATTACTTTAGGACCCCAGAAGATGGACTTGGGGGTTGTGGGGGGGGGCTGGATCTGTTTGTCCCTCTTCTCAATGGGACCACATTGACTAAATCTTTCTCTGCTTTCCGGTTTTAGTTGAGGACTGGCTGCCGGATGTGGCTTGGGGCATAGGTTGTGACCCCCTGTTCAGTACAGTGTCGTGGACAAAGGCAGGGGACCGAGAACAATACCAAAACCTGCACCCTGCACACGTCTCAGTAGGGCCCTTCGTGTCACCCCCTCAAGCCCTCCTTATTTTGGTCTTTCTGGGGAGTTCGGATAAATGTCAGTTGGATACAGTAGGTCTTTAGTCAGGCAGGGACCTAAAGAAGGAGGGTGTGGCTGAAACGCCACCCAGAGGGGTGTACCCCTCCAAGTTGTCCTAGGCTCTGGGTAAACAACTCAAAGAATCACGGAGCACCCAGCCACCTTCCTTCCCCTGGACACTTTTAAGCCCTCCCTCCATCGAGGCAGCTTGCAAACCACAAGGCGATAGCTCAGGCTGACCCTGGAAGGGAGGAGGGAGAAGAGACCTGTAGGGGACTGGGGCTAGATGAAGTCAGTTTTGGTGGCTTCAATGACGCTATGAATACCACACGGTGGCGCTCTCCGTGCCAGGCCCTCTCCCAGCAGTGCAGATGTGTGTGTGTGTGTGTGTGTGTGTGTGTGTGTGTGTGTGTGTGTGTGTATCTGTCTGTTTGTCTGTGTGTCCGTCTGTATGTCTGTCTATGTGTGTTTCTGTCTGTCTGTGTGTCCGTCTGTGTCTGTGTCTCTCTGTGTGTCTGTGTCTGTGTGTATGTGTGTGACTATGTCTGTGTCTGTCTGTGTCTGTGTGTGTGTGTGTGTGTGTGTGTGTGTGTGTGTGTGTGTGAGTGCTCACACCAGCTAGTAGGACTAGGGAGAGAGGACCGGAGGCGGAGACGAGGGGAAGAGATCAGGCCTTCATCAATAGCAGCAGCTCTGGGAAACTCCCTTACCATCCCTGCTGTTCTTCACCCTGTCGCTCTCCTGGTCTCTCCCTCTCCTTCCATCTTCTCCCCACACTCTCTGTCTGGCTCACTCTCCTCCCTTATGTCTTATTCTTCTCTGTGCCCACTTGGCTGAATTCAAAGACTCAAGTCCTTTACCAGCCATGTTGATAAACTTGCAGGATATGTGGTCAAGAGTGTGCTTTTCTTCCTTCCCTGCTCTCTGAGATGCTGAGTCCAGAGCTAGACACAGACAGTCCACCAGGCAAACGAATGGGGTTCATCCAAGCTGGGCTGGACTTCCTCTGAACTTGAGAACACCACGCTGCTTTATACCAGGGATTGAGCTCCACCCACTGCCCACTACCCATCTACTGAACAATTAGTAAATCTGGGGAGACCTTCAATCAGTAAAGTGCTTGCCACACAAGCATGAGGAACTGAGTTCATGTCAAAACAAAACAAAACAAAAACATCTTGGGCATGAGGCAGAAACAGGAAGACCCTGGGAGTCTTGCTGGCTGTGGGAGGCCAGCTCCCACATGTTCCCATTTTTCCCAGGGTACTCTTGAGAGGGATAAGAAACATTAGATAGAAATATGGTGGTTAACGAAACAGACAGAAACACAGGATAGCTTTAGGAGGGCCTGGATCAATATCCACGGCCCCTCCTGTCTCTTTTAAAGGGCTATTTATAGGAATGCCAAGGGGTGGAGCAAAAGACCTCCCCCTAGCACAGCCAAGTGCAGACCCTGATAACCATGCACGTGGTCTATGCAATCCTCTAATGCAGCCCTGCTGGGTGAAGCAAGCTCATATCTCACTAGGAAACCTCTGTAGGCCTCCACAGCTGGCCTGCTAGTCTAGCCAATTTTTTTTTTTACTTAATTTAAAAATATTTTTCAGGGGGCTGGAGAGATGGCTCAGAGGTTAAGAGCACTGACTGCTCTTCCAGAGGTCCTGAGTTCAATTCCCAGCAACCACATGGTGGCTCACAACCATCTGTAATGAGATCTGGCGCCCTCTTCTGGCCTGCAGACATGCAGACAGAACACTGTATACATAACAAATAAATCTTAAATATATATATATATATATTTCATACAATGTATTTTGATCATTTTCCCTCCCCCGACTCCTGTCAGACCCTCCCCGCGTGTGTGCCCGCTGAACTTTTTGCTCTCTCTCTCTCAAAACAAAATGAAAATCAATGCAAATAAACTATATATATATGACAAAAAAAATAACAAAACAAACCCAAGCCCACACAGAACCATGGACTCCATTTTCTGCTGGCCATTTACCCCTGGGCGTGGGCCATGGCCTGCAGTGTGGCTGAAATACCCAGTGACTCTCCTATCCGCTCTCCTCTCCTCTCCTCAGACCCAAGGATCTATGCAGGAAAGGCAGAAAAATTGTAAGAGCCAGCGGTGGGGGATGACGCCAAGGAAAGAGCATCTTCCAGACACAACAGGACTGATACACATACCAACTCAGAGTCTGTGACGACAAGGACAAGACCTTCACAGGTTCAAACTAGACAACCTTCCGGCAAAGGGAAGAGGAAGTAGACACAGGCCCCACTCCTAACCAAGAAGCTATTTGCAACTGATGCCTTCTGGGTAAGGGGAAATCAGTTTCCTCCAAAGGAGAGCCACTAGGTATAATCTAGCCAAAAGTTTAAACCTGAGGCTCAGTGAGAGACCCTGTCCTCTGACCTCTACACACACCCACACATGTGCCCCTGCATGCACACAAACATGAAATACACACTAACTATACTGTACACTAACTGTCTGTCTGGCACTGAGCAAGAGATAGGTTCCTTGCGAGCAATAGTTTGAAACTCATGGGTGCATCAGGATTATCCACAGGGGCTTGATGGGGGTGCTAGGATGCAGCACCCCCCCATCCTGACTCAGCAGAATATGGCACAGGTCACGTCCTGTCACACCTGCTACATGTTCTGGTGGGGAGGATGAGATTTAAAGCAGAGCTGTGGGCTTCCCTGGGGACACTGAGCACTGCATGGCAAATCAGGCGGGTGCAGGCTGCCGCCCCAGCATGGCCACCTGGGAAGGAGAACAGCCGTGCTGGAATGAGGGGCCACAGTCTCTCCCCGGACTTGACTTGTCCAGGCAACATTGAGTCAAAAAGCAGTAGTAGGAATATTCAGGGAGCCCCATACTCTTGTCTTCGGGTCCAACTCCATCAGTTCAAATGTACTAAAATATACCGTTCCCAGGAACTGGAGAGATGGCTCAGTGAGCCGTCACTTGTTGCTCTCTCAGAGGACCAAAGGAGCTCGGTACCCAGTACCCACATCAGGCAGCTCACAATGACCTGTAACTCCAACTCCAAGGGATCCTCTTCTAGCCTCTCCAGGCACCTATATAAACATACACACATGCACATACAAACACATAGACATACACAAGTAAAATCTTTTTGTTTGTTTGGGTTTTTTTTGTTTTTTGTTTTGTTGTTGTTGTTTTGTTTTGTTTTGTTTTTGAGACATGGTTTCTCTGTGTAGCCCTGGCTGTCCTGGAACTTGCTTTGTAGACCAGGCTGGACTTAAACTCAAAGATCCACCTGCCTTTGCCTCCTAGGATTAAAGATCTGCGCCGCCACCACCTGGCAAATGAATCTTTTTTTTTTTTTTTTAAAGAATAAAATATACCACACCTTACATGAAATGACACTTTGTCACCCTACACATTTTGAAAGGAATTTACAAGTGTGGCTTTTGGACTCAAAGAACTTCAGGGAAGTCACTGAATGTACAACTGATTTTATTGCTGAGCAATCATGCATGTGTTGGAGTTCTTGCCAACTGAGGAGTTAAAAAAAAAACATGGTCTTCAAGAATAATGAAATATTTATGAGTACTACTTTTAATGATTAGTGAAGTTGACATAATGTCAAGTTTTGGAAACATTTATGCCAGCATTTTTTGATTTTGATTTTGAAGTTCTTTTATAATTTGGAGTCATCAATTTTCCCCCCAAGTCATAAGCAGACCCTAAAAGTCCCACTAGCCTAAGTACTGGGTTTAGGGTGCCCATAGATAAAACCCAGGCTTGAATCCAGTCTCCCTGTTACAGCTCAGTGCACCAGAGGAGTCTCCTCCAAGGAGCAGGAAGGAAAATAAATGCCAGCCAGGAAATGTGTGTAATTACCCCCAATTCCAAGTGCCCATTGGTCTTTCCCAGGCTGATGGCTCAGATAATTACAGCAAGTGGAATTTTTTTAATTCTTTAATCAAAAAAAATGTCCTGTGGAAAAAAAAATGTTCTGTGTATGGGTGTTTTGCTTACATGTGTGCTCATGTACTAGGTACATACAGTACCTGCAGAAGCCAGAAGAGGGCATCAGATCTTCCAGAACTGGAGTAACCGGGGTTGTGGGTCCCCATCACTGAGCCATCTCTTCAGTGTAAGTGACATTTGTAAAGCATTTCTTCTTCGTCTTCTGAGCCCCATACCATCTGGGCTAGTTCGCTGGAATCAAGCGTGTGAGACGCACACAGTTGTTGGTGTTACTATTCTTCCCATTGACAAAGCAGAAGCTCGAGGCTTAGGGATGTTGGCTTGAAGCTGATAGTGAGGTGCTGAGTTACAATCTAGGAGGTGTGAGTTCAGATCCCTGTGGTACAGTACCTGTGCCAGACTAGAACCCCTTCTTACCCCCAGTATGAAGGAGACACCTACTGCAAGAACAATACCTTCACTGTGTTCAGGAACCAGCCTCTTCCTTCCGCCTTGAGAGTCCCTCGCTCCCCAGGTTCTCTAGCCAGGGAACAGCCAGCTGCTAATGAACACCAACTAGAGACAGAGAACAGTGAAACCTAAGGAAGGTGGTTGAAATGAGTACAACACCCAAGCACCCTGTTCTCATGTGGATAATTTAAATGGCCTGCACTTGGCAAGAAAGCCTCCCCAGAACGTTACAAAGAACAGGGACTCGTAAAGGGAACACATGATAAATACGACTGCATAAGCTGTAAAGCCCTTTCATGGCAAACATCTAAGACAAATGGAGTCCAGTGGCGCCTCTCTGGTCAAGCTGGCCATGTTAAATCACACCAAAAGCACTTCGTCCTAACACCTAGTGGAGAGAGGCTTCCGGCCACAGCAGTCACTGCTGCTCAAGAGGGATCTACCCAAAGGCTATCCAAGGAGCCCTCCCTCCTCCCTGCCTGTCAAATTGTCTCCATCCACCACTAGGGAGCAGTAGAGGATCATGGGACTCTTCTTCATGCCTTGCTAACTTTTGAGGGAGAGCGCCTCAGGCCAATGAAAACACCTTCCTTAAAGCAGTGGTTCTGACCTTCCCAATGCTGCAGCTCTTTAATACAGTTCCTCATGTTGTGGCATCTCTTTTTCCTTCCTGCTGACCTCAAACTCAGAGATTCACCTGCCTCTGCCTCCCAAGTGCTGGGATTAAAGGTGGCACCACCACTGCCCAGGTCTTTTACTGTGTGTCAAGTCTGCTTTGTTGTTTACATTTATTTTATGTGCATGTGTAGGCCTGAGTGTGTGTGTCCCGTGCCTGTGAGGTATACATGGAGGCCAGAAGAGGACATCAGACCCACTGAGACCAGAGTTACAGGCAGTCGTAAACTTCCTGATGTGGGTGTGGGAACCAAACCCAGGTCCTCTGCAAGAGCAGCCAGTTAACCACTGAACCACTGTGGCCGGGCAGCGTGGTGCAACTCTGACAAGAAAGGGCTTATTTGTGTTAGGGGTCACAGCTGTCATCTCGGGAAGCTAAAGCAGGAACCTGGGGGCAGAAACTGAAACAGGGATCACAGAAGAAGGCTGCCCACTGGCTTACTTTCCAGGGCTTGCACAGCCTGCTTTCTTCACAACCCAGGACCACCTGCCACCTGCCCAGGGTGGCACCAACCACAGTAGGATTGACCCTCCCACGCCAATCATTCATCAAGAAAATGCCCCCAAAGGCCAATCTGATGGAGACCAATTCCCACCAGAGGTTCCCTCTCCTGAGGGGACTTATTTGTGTCAAGTTGGCAAAAACTCACCAGCACAACTGATCTTTTTGGAAGGACAATGTATGTCCCATGGCTTGCGTTAACTTCTTTCCTATAAAGGAAATGCCATTGAGGAAATGGGCCTCATGACAGCCACCGAGATGTCCACCTTCCCACGGTGCTTGCTTCACCGAGGCCTCTTTCTCATCTTTCGTTCTGACAGAGGATTCCTCTCTACTGTGGCAACTGACCAAAGAAGGACAAACCACCCACAAGCAACCAACCCTCAGCCTCAACAAAGCCATGGCCCTCTTCAGAGCACTCTCTGGCACACCCCTCACTGCCTCTAGTTATCCAGGGTGGACATCTGTGTGTGCACAGCATGGCCATGCTCCTTGGCTTGGCTCTGAGCAGATTGTTATCCTCAGAGCTGGGACTCCTCCTCTGAGTCCAATCTCTCCACAAACAACCAGCACCCACTTTCCACTGGGCCAGCTGGAGATGGCTGTCATCTCCTCAATCTGTATCGGCAAGAGGGTAAAAGCAGGTCGGCCGTGGTGACGCACACCTTTGATCTCAGCACTCAGGAGGCAGAGGCAGTCGGATCTCTGTGATTTCGAGACCAGCCTGGGCTACAGAACAAGTTCCAGGACAGGCTCCAAAGCTACACAGAGAAACCCTGTCTCAGGAAAAAAAAAAAA